TTAATTGAGATAAAACCATTGAATATCAAATGCTCCAGATTCCAATTTGGAGGAGGCTGGTGGAAAGGATCGATCAGCCATGTGCCCATTGGTCCTGAGCGACACACTACAGTGCAAATATGCAGATGAAGAAATTGAGAGAGAAAAAAAATCAGCTGTAATGTCCTCTGACTAGGATCCCACCTATAGACATTTGACTAAAATACCAGTGATCTGCAGAGTTAAAACTATTCCAGCACAGTTAAGAAAAATAATGGAAGCAAAAGAGAAAGGCAACAAAGTAGTGGCTAAGGTCAGAAGTCAGGCAACACCAGGTTATAGTCCAATAGGTTTATTTGAAATCACAAGCTTTCAAAGTGTTGCCCCTTCAGAGAATGGAAATATTACAACAGTACATTGGGATGCATTTGTAATGTTGGAGCTAAGATGCAGCTTCTTCAATACAAGCATTGCTCCAACATATACAAACAGACTGTAATCACTCTTATAATAGCTTCCAGCTTCTAACTCGGAATTTAAGAACACCATAAAGATGAGTTATCTATTGTGTTTCCATCTATACGTGTGAAGGTCTCTCAGCTGCAACGCCAAAGTTATTTTTCAAAAGCTATGATAAATATTGCTAAGTTTTACACAATTGGAGATCCTGTAAATATGTATAACAATACAGAATTCAATTCAGAATCATTATCATCACTGTAGGAAGTCATATTGCACAGAAGAAGCTTAGAAGTTAGTGACATGTAACACTAATACGAAACTGAATGAGCAAAATAAGGATTAAATAAATAATGGAAAGCAAAGGATTGCTACGTGTTACTGAATCACTTAACTGGAGAATAATCATTTTATCAGAGGTCCTCTTTAGCTATTTTCCAATTTGAAGCTTTTATTGACAATTATGTTGTAACTACACGCACTCAGCAAACTGCCAAATACTGCACAGAACCGAAACTAGAGCATAATGAGGCCTTCTGCTAATAGTTACAGGTAAGGGCCACAAACTTACATGACAAGTCACACTGCCTATTCGTCTTTGCATAATCAAACACAAAGCAAATAATACAGTCACAGTGTGAGAAATTAATTATGCTGCAGATTATGTCACAAGTAATGGAAATTTGTTCTCGATCTCACATAGATGGACACAGGCTCAAATACGTAAGTTCAGCCCACTGAATGGGATGCTCTTTCCCACAGCCTAAACTCACAACAAAAGCACAGAGCCTGCACAACACTCCTACCATCCTTCTTTATAGAAACCTCTTCAGTTGAAGTAAACTATTGAAATTGTCAGTTCTGTCACGTTGGAAAATAAGTGATTGTTGCAAAGTTGAACAGTACAGACGAAACACAATACGACAAAACAAAGAAAACAATGAAATAACAGAAATTATCAGAAATCTAGTCTTAAAACTAACCAACTTTATTTTGTTATCTAAAATCTGATTTCTTGAACAAACACTACAACTTTTATGCAAAACGCAAAGATGTTTCGTTTGCTGTGATCATCTAATTCATCCTACATACTGACTTATTCAAAAATAGGTCTAAGGAATGGCTGCTTAAGGCAATATTTGCTGTGATTACTCAACTTAGAATACATGCAAGTACATCTGTCTGATGAGACCTACAAACAATTGAAATATCTAGACATCTAAACCTTCATGTGACACAGATTTTACTACTGTTCAATGTTGCACTCAGAATGTACATGCTTGTTAATTCTGCTTTTGCTTTTAAATGATGCCTTTAGTAAATCTAAAAGATTGGTGTTAGCTTTAAAGAGTCTAGGATTATTTTATCCTTTGCCAATTTGCACAGACACATCAAAGCTATTATTCTGCAGGTAGAAGAGAACTTCAATCTGACACACTCAGAAGATTGCACTTTTTATCTTTGAAAAACTATTCTGTCATCACTTATTACACAATACAGTATATTTCTTTGCAGAATCCAAACATTGCAGTAAGAACTCAAAGAAGCCAAATTGTAGATATAATGTACATGGATCAACACTGCCATGTTAAGTTTAGCTGCGGAAATATATATTTATTTATATACATAGACATATCTGTACATATATAAATATATATTTACACACACACACTGCATCACCATGCAACACTTCATGTGAGATACCAATTACGGTCACAGATGGAAACCACTGGAAGAACAGTGTTATCACAGGTACCAGCCAGAATACACAAGAGGGGGACAGACAACTGGTAACAGAAAACAAGCTGCTTACCCTCAGCTTTAGTGGATGTGCCATCTTTCAGCAAAAGAAGACATGGAGGACAGGGGAATGTTAGTACAGTTAGCAAAGATGGGCTCATTACTTTAATGCGTAGTAGACAGGAGAATCTCGTGGAGCTGTAAATATCACTAAGGCTATTAAATGCATTAGAACCAAAAAGGAACACAAATCAGATAATAAAGGCACAAGATATGGGCATTAAAACACAAAAAAATGCAAATCAGTTTAAAAAAAGGTGAAATAAAATCCACATTCTGTATATTAACATCCTGGTATTACATAGCTATGATAATTATAAACTTTATTTCATTAAAAAAAGGAAAGTCAGAAGAGATCCAAGTCTTTTGTGACAAAAATTAATTTTCAATTGAGTTTTTCTTTAAAAATTAATGATCATATGATACACTGTTACAACTAGGGAAAGGACACCAGTCCAGATGAGTTTGTGAAGAAAGAGGTCTTAGATACTTCAGTAAATTGCTGTACTTGATAACTGACAATGTACAGATATAAATAACTGAATATCACGTTACATAACAGGTTGTAGAGCTTTATCTAGAGATAAGGAGAAAATAGCCTCAAGGACAATGTATGTGCAGACACCCACAGCCCAAGGATCTCATTCTCCAGGTAACATTATTAACTCATAACTACTTGTGTGGGAACCAGTTTAGTTCGGTTGCATTGTGAGAAACTTTGTTATTTCACAAGTCTTCATATAATGACAGATTGCCAAAAAGTGGGTGATGTCACAACTACTTTTGTTCGGACCTCAGTTGAGGAAGACAATCACTCTGGTTTACAGGAGCCTTAAAGTGAAAAACAGTGGTGATTAAGTTTTCCTACTGCATTAATCCAACGTCTCTGACCTCTTCCCCGAGGAATACCATTAGGGGACAGCTGCTGGGAAACAAAGGATATTTTCCTCAAACCAACAATTTCACTGCAGCTCCTGTCGGACGGAAAATTAATACCGATCAGTGACAAGCTAGAAGGCCACAGTTAAAATATTCTGTCATCCTACTTAAGGATTTAGACTTGTTGGTATCTAAAGTCAGTATGGCCATGGTGAGGGTCCATGGGCACTCAAATCATTGATAAGACTTGGGGAATTCAGGTTCCTCTACCTTCACTGCTCTTGTGGACAGTGCCTGTACCTTACAGATTTGCTGCAGCTCTCTATTATTATCCTATTCATCAATGGGTTCCTGGGGTTCAGCATTTATATCTGGCTGAACAAAGCTTGAAGACAGCTTTGTCCTCTGACATGGATTCTCCACTGTTGTTCCTGCAACCATCCTCTGCTCATGTTCATTCGCAAGCTGTTGGTTAGTAACTGAAAACCCACTACCTGTTTAACAGATCCTAGTGAAGTGGGATTATTTGTGCTGGTGTATGTTAAGAGTGAGTTCTACAGTGATATACCCTCAGAAGGAATGAGTTCTTTGAGGGAAACATCATCATCAGGAGGGTCCACAGGCTACAGTTCTAACACGAAGGCCGTGGAGAGGAGAAGCAGATATGCATAATTACTGACTTAATTTCAAATGTTCCTACTTTGCATGAATTAGATGAACATTATCCACTAGTTGTTGAAATCAAGGCAACATAGCCGAGTCTTGTACACGATGTGGTTTGAAGGTTAAATCTGTCACTAGGCCCAAGTTTCTCCATTATGCCACTGATCTCCCTGGATTCTTCCTCTGGTGGTATCAGTGATGCTATCTGTGGTGATCCACGTCCAGTCCTCTTCATCTTTCTTATATGTTGTGTTCAGATTATCTACAACCAGGGAACAATAGACCTGTTCGTGTCTCTAAGTCTTCACGAGACAAATACAGTGTATTCAATGAGAATGTCCATCAGGAATACACAGCACATTGCATAAAGAGTAGGGTGAATAGGGACGATAAGTGGAAAGGTGAGGATGTGAACAGAAAGTGAATGGCTTACACTCTTTAAATTTAAGTGGGTGTGAGGAGTGATACGATGGAATATGCTCAATAAGATAAGAGTGAATGGATTGCAACTCTACCCATTTTTACTGAGCGGGATAGATCATTACACTGCTTCTAGAACTGGATACAGGTATAAAATACTCCTACTGGAGTAGTGACAGTAATGTGTTTCTTCCTTGTATTCCTGAAAAAGATTATCTCCACCCTAGTCCTGATGGCATCTACCAAAATATTGCAAGTAGACACCTGAGTCCCTCTTGTAAATTGTCATCTCTTTCCAAACTCTTCCAAATCCTCCAAATTCCATCTTGGAATTGGATCTTTGAACAGTTGAGTTAAGAATATGACATGCAAGTGCATGTTGGATGCAAAACACTAAAGTAAAATGATACTTAAGGATCCAGGTTAAGGTTGAATTTTCTGACGTGCTGAAGTCTTTCTGGTTTCACCCAGCCCTATCATACCCTCTGCTCAGGATCTCCATCTGTATTATTCTGAGGCTGAGTGAATTTCTCTACACATGGGAATGTGAGTCAATTTCTTTACAGATGGCAATAACACAGAATGTGAATGACTTCTTCAGATAGTAACAAGGTATAAAATGTGAGTGAATTTCTTGTCAGATGCGAACAATTCTTTAAACTGTAATGTGTATGAAGGTCATGGTGGAAACAAAGGAAGTGTTCATTCATGTTGATGTGATGGCTTCAACAAAGAGACCTGACAATCTTTGTACTTCCATTTCCAACAGTCAGGTTTTAATCAACAAAAACAGATCTCACCTCTGTGAATTATCTCGTGTAAGGCGAAGCCATTTTGACACCATTTGTTCAACTTTGTGGGATTTGCGGGCTTGGACCATGTTATCCACTCGTTCTTCCATTTAACTGTAGAAAGTAATAACTTGTGTTAATCTCACTATTGCATTAGTCCCAGTACCTGCAACAACTACAACAGGACGAGAATACCAGATGCAATGTAAATCTTTCTCTACTCTGCCCCAACAATTTGCCTTAGTCCCCTGAGAAGAGTACCACTATTTACACTATTATGCTTTCTGATCATTTTTCTATTTCCACCTGATCTGTCCTACAATGGATCTTTGTACTAGTAGAACAGAGAAGTTTGAGGGCAGCACGGTGGCTCAGTGGTTAGCACTGCTGCCTCACAACGCCAGGGACCTGGGTTTGATTCCACCCTTCAGCTACCGTCTGTGTGGAGTTTGCACATTCTTCCCATGTCTGCATGGGTTTCCTCCGGGTGCTCAGGGAGAGAAATTCAGCCTTCAACAAACCTCATTTTCAGTAGGTCTCACCCTTCAATCCAATCTCTTCACATTCCCATCTAAAACTCATACAGGATCATGAAAGAAACTTAAGATGTATAGATTTCATAGAAACACACTCAAAACACAAAGAGTAAATCTGAATAAATCCATAGCTATAAGCTATGGTATGGACTTACTAGTATTTTGTTTGTTTAATTTTTTCTATGTAGAAAAATTTTTTGCTTTGTTTAAAAAAAGTGTAGTTCTGTTGGTTAAAACATGGTATTTGAATTACTATTTAAATATTAACATTCCCTAGCCAGATTGCAACGTACTGTAACAATCATCATCACCTCTGCAGCACACTATCATTTCAAAGGATATGAGGAAGACAATCTAAAGCTAGCTCTCTGGGGTTCAATATTTGTTGAAGGTCTAATTTGAAGAAAGATTTTGTATTTCCACCATGCTCTACAATATCTTCAAGAGATCACAAAATGCTTTAAGTCAACAGGGCCAGGATTTAATGATTGGGGCACAGGGCTCACCCACTAGTTACAGAATCACTGCTAATCTCCTATTACTTTTCTTCAAGACGGTTGATCCAATTGAATTCAAATCAGGCACGTGGCTGGGCTGCACCAAGCCTTCCTTCCAAATAAGCCAGGGACAAGGTGGAAATTTCCTGGAAGCTATCAGCCAATCAGAGGCCAGCAGGTGTGCAGTACTGGCACTGCTGCTCTTACAGTAGGGCGACAGTAGGAATGAATGATGGATCCCAGGTTACCCATTTGGGCACACAGTGCCTATGAATGTTGAGGCCCCTTTGACAGGTCACTTGGTTTGCACAGCCTTCTCAGATGTTGAGTGCTTTGCTGGTTCAAAGGCGGGATGAGAACTTGGAGAAGTTTCCATGTGCCTCAGGGTGAGTTACGGCTGCGTGTTTTGCCAACGGTGCACATTGGTACCATTGTGAATTGGTGGTGGATGGAGTCAATCTTGAAGGTGCAATATGTGGCACCAATCAAACAAGATGCTTTAGCCTGGATGGTGTCAAGCTTTTTGAGTGTTGTTGGAGCTACACCCATCCAGGCAAGTATTCCATCACACTCCTGATTTGTGCCTTGTAGATGGTGCATAGGCTTTGGGACTACACCTCTTGTATTACCTGTTTGCTTGTGAATCCTAAAATTGGGAAATTCAGATCACATAGGGATTGATCTCTCTGTTGGAACAGGTATGTCTAACATATTGGGCGTTCAGTTCTGGTGAAAGATCATTGACCTGAAACATTAACTTGTTTCTCTCCACAGATGCTGCCTGATTGCCTGAGTATTTCCAGCAATTTTTAATCATGACATTAGGCTTTAGGTCTCATTAACATTAGAATGACCTGCTACAGGTACATTCTGGGCACTTTCCATGAATATTTGAATATGTTGCCCGTCGAATAGGATGCTTTGGTGCCTGGTCCCACCATCATGGAAGTATTGAACTACAAAACTGTCCAAAATACACTTTTGTAATTCATTGACATCACTTGAGTTATTCTGCACCTCACTATGTCACCCTCCCCACAACCTACCCAGACACTTTATACTAAAATGATTATCTCCTATTGGACCCTCTTGTTCTTTACCTCCGTGCTCCCTGACCTTTATTTTATTCAATGCTCCATACCCTCAAGACGCTCCCATCACATCGTTACATCAGGGGGTCTGTAGGATCATCAGAACAGAATCTCATCCTTCGCTGTTCCTTAACTCAATCTGTAATGTTTTCACTGCGAAATTCTTTCACCTCTATGCCACAATTGTGGATTTCATCAAATCGCACCTTTCTGAATTTTCCCACAACAACTGAGGTATGGTCTCAATTGAAGAAAACCTACTGAAGCACCCCACAGAGCGATAGTTAATATTAAAATGGGACTTACAGCATCAGCAATTCAACAGCGAACAAGCAAAACGTTCTTGTCAGGATAAATATTCCAGCAACTTCTCTCCACTTCGTCTTAGCGTAACAAGCAACTCTCACATTTAGAAATGCTTCTAAAAGCGAGACAGCTTGCAATAATTATCTTTGGCTCTAACAGCTGGACTGGATTTTCTGGGTGGTGGATGTGAACAGGACTCTTATGGATCAGTGGTAGTGTCCCGAACTCTGAGCTAGGAGGGCTCGGTAACAATATCTCTGAGCAGGTTATTTAGAAAATGTCTGTAAGAATTCGCTGTCAATATCGAGAACAAATATCCTCCGTTATTTTGCTGTGCCAGTGTATTGAAATTTGTTATTTTAATTGATGGAATCCTGAATTATTGTCAGAGACTTGTTCAATGCTGACACTTTTAAATGATAACTTGCAGTGCCTGAAATTCTTAAACCTGCACTTCTATTTTCCTATAAGCAATCAGACAGCACCTACTTATCTATTAATAAAAGCAGATATCTTGGGCTCTCTCCTCCAGAAGACCATGGATGTTGCACCATGGACCTTTGGAGAATGATTTTGCAAGAAGGGATATGGATCAAAGATGGGTAAATAGAGTGTAGGTGCAAATGAGCCATGATCTATTGACAGGGAGCTTCATGACCTACTCCTGGTTCCTACATAACAGGCTCGAGGAACTCAAATCTTGTTCATTGAGCTACTACATCCTTCTGTTCCTAGATGCAACTGGGAGGGTCAGATTGCCTTCATTAGAATTAATGTTCTTTTTAGTGCTACAATTGTGCAGGGGAACTGAATAATTGGAAACACTGCAGGCCCATGGCTAAAGAAGGCTGGAATTTATGGAGCTTTTAATTTTATTTCTTATTTACCACTTTATAATGACAAGAACTGTAAAGTTGAACTTTCAACTTATTTCGTTATTTTTCTCGTCTTTACCTAAGATTTTGTACCTAGGTACCTTGTACCTAAGATGGAGCTCTGAATGGTGACACTGTAAACTTTTCACTGTACTCCTGTATCCCTGTCCTTGAATACACATGACAATAAAAACCTAATTCTAATTCTAAAAACCAAAAAGCTGGAGTACTGGAGAAAATAGCCTTAAAAACAGACCCAGATATTTTATGGACTTGCTTGTTACATATAAAGACTTATGTCTGTGCTGGGCTAAGACTTGCTGGGGAACTGTACTTCAATGTTACTGATTGTTGTTCGCATAAAGCAGCTGTATTTTTCACTCTTATTTCCATATGACTCCAAGTCAACACAAATCAGAAAAGAACAAGTGCACTGAGGTTGAAATATGCTCTGTTCCTTTATGTAATCATGTTACACTTCTTCATTAGTCTCTGAGTTATTCCATGTTCTGCTCTCTGAATGTTTCTTTGAAAGAAAGAATGAATTCACTTTGGTATAGCCCCATTCACCCATTGAGATAAATGACCACTTCATTGGATTTTAAAGTGACTTTGATTGAGGAATAAGTATTGGCCAGGGCATCTGAACTACTCCCCTGTTTTGCTTCAAATAGTTGCATGGGATCACTTGGACCAGCCTTCGAGGGCTGATGGATCTTCATTTAACACACCATTGGAAAGTTGACACCCCTAATAGCATAGTGTTCCTTGGTGCTACACTGAAGTGATAGCTAAGATTATGTTCTCAAAGTATCTGGAGCAAGGTTCAAACCTATGAGCTTGTAACATATAATTGAGAGGGCTACCAAGTGGGCCAAAGCTAACATTAGGGGACATGTGTAGACCTAACCCAAACTCATGTAAACTGGTTAGCAGCTTAACAGAGTTCTGCCCATTTTCACCCAGATGTTTACTCACTGCAAATACCAACACATCACAACTTTAACTGGCTTTGGAAATTGATTAAGGAAACCAAGATGCATAGATGAAGCAGATGAAATAGTAATAGAACAGTACAGCACAGGAACAGGTCCTTTGGCCCACCATGTCTACACCAACTATGATGTTGTTCTGAACTAATCCCATCTGCCTGCACATGGTCCATATCCCTCTATTCCCTGCCTGGCCATGTATCTGTCTATATGCCTCTTAAATGTTGCAATCATTTCTGTTTCTACCACGTCCCCTGGCAGCGTGTTCTAGTAGCTAATACGCTCTGTGTAAAAAACTTTCATCTCATATCTCCTTTAACCTTTCCCCCTGTCACCTTAAACCTATGCCCCCTAGTATTTGACATTTCCATGCTCGGACTATCTACCCTGTTTATGCACCCCTCATCATGCAATGCTTTGGCAGAAACAATCCAAGTTTATCCAAACTCTCTTTACAGCGAAAACACTCCAATCCAGGCAACATTCTGGAAAATCTCTTTGCACCATCCCCAAAGCAGCCACATCCTTCCTGTAAGGTGGCAGCCAGAAATGCACACAATACTCCAAATGTGGCCTAACTAAAGTTTTGTACAGCTGCAACATGACTTGCCAACTTTTATACTCAATGCCCCAAGCAATGAAGGCAGGCAGGCCAAAGACCTTCTTTATCACCTTATCCCCTTTCAGGGAACTATGGACTTGCAACCCAAGATCCTTCAGCGTATCAATGCACCCATGGGTCCTGCCATTCACTGTATGTTTTCCTCATGCATTTGGTCTTCCAAAATGCATCATCTCACACTTGTCCGGATT